CAATCCATACACAACCAGACCGGCGGTCTCCTCAAGCGCACCTGCGCCTTCTCTTGGCGAAAAGGATCCCCTCTATGGCTTCCTCCCCCGCATGGTCACCTCCCTCCAGGCGACCTCGGCCATGGCAAGTCTCGGCTGAATTTATGTTTTCCTCTGACGAATATTTACACCGTATCCTACAGGAGAGTGACATTAACCCATTCTCCAAAAAACCTCACTCCGCCTCGTACAAGAAGATCCTACAGGACCGCAAGAAGCTCCCAGTCTTTGCCCAGATGAAGGACTTCCTCGAGATGGTGAGCCCTCACTCGGCTTTTTATTGTGTCAGGGGAGGTCAGAGTACCCTTCAGGCTTCCGTCCCCCCGGCCAGCACTGAATGTCACTAATATCCCGCACCACAAAGTTCAGCAAGAACCAGATCATCGTTATGGTCGGAGAGACCGGTTCAGGAAAGACCACTCAGTAAGATGCTCTTCAGGAACCCGTTCCCCCTTTCTTGATGAGCGTTGCTTACTTGCATGTCTATCAAGAATACCCCAGTTCGTATGTTACTCCGACCTCCCGCACACCAAGGGCAAGATCGTTGCGTGTACACAACCAAGACGAGTCGCCGCTATGTCCGTCGCGAAGCGTGTGGCAGACGAGATGGATGGTGAGTCTAACGCTCTGGTCTCTACTCCGAGGTCGTTTTCTTGCCCGCACGTCCATGCCCTATCCTGGCTCTCCAAACTAGTCGGCACATGTGTTGGTTCCGCACCACTTGTTATAGGGAAGAAACTCTCCTGTACATCTCAGCGAGGCAACCGTGATATGCACTATAAGGCCTCTATGACAGCTCTCCGTCTATCAACTATGGGCCAGTTCGATGGATCTTCAGTCTCCCGGTCGTGCTTGGCGCATACTACTTTCCTGTCAGCTTCTCCAATAGTAAGCTCGAAGTTTGTAGAGAGCAGACCGATCGCGTTGAACCCAATCAACCCTGCTTGAGAATCTATTGCTAACCGTTGCCCGCAGTTCCACTTGGAAAGCAAGTCGGTTACTCCATCCGTTTCGAGGATATGACAGAACCTGGCACGACCTTCCTAAAGTATATGACTGACGGTATGCTTCTGCGAGAGGCAATGAACGACCACGATCTCAGCCGCTACTCTACCATCATCCTCGATGAAGCCCACGAACGCACCCTCGCCACCGACATCCTCATGGGCCTTCTGAAGGACATCGCAAAGCGGCGTTCGGACCTCAAGATCGTGATTATGTCTGCCACGCTCGATGCGCAAAAATTTCAGAGGTATTTCAGCTTGACCGGGCCTGAAAATCCGGCCCCTCTATTCAAGGTGCCTGGACGAACACACCCGGTAGAGGTGTTCTACACGCAGGAGCCAGAACCAGACTACGTGGAGGCCGCGATTCGTACGGTCCTTATGATCCATCGTGCAGAGGATCCGGGAGACATTCTGCTCTTCCTGACTGGAGAGGAGGAGATCGAGGATGCTTGCAGGAAAATCAAGCTCGAGGCGGACGACCTCGTCAACCAGGACCCGGACAGCGTCGGCCCGCTTGTATGCATCCCACTATACTCGTCCCTCCCACCTCAGCAACAGCAGCGGATATTTGACCCTGCACCACCACCGCGCATCCCCAATGGTCCTCCAGGGCGCAAGATTGTCATTTCTACGAACATCGCGGAGACATCGCTCACAATTGACGGCATCGTGTACGTCGTTGACCCGGGCTTCTCGAAACAGAAGGTGTACAATCCTCGCATCCGTGTCGAATCACTTCTTGTGTCTCCCATCTCGAAAGCATCCGCACAGCAACGAGCCGGTCGTGCAGGCCGCACACGTCCAGGCAAATGCTTCCGACTGTACACCGAGAAGGATTTCATGCAGGAGCTCGAGGAGCAGACCCACCCCGAGATCCTCCGGAGCAATCTCGCGAACACAGTCTTGGAATTGGCTAAGCTAGGTATCAATGATCTAGTGCACTTCGACTACGTGGACGCGCCAGCCCCAGAGACGTTGATGCGTGCGCTGGAATTGCTGAACTACCTCGCGGCACTGGATGACGAGGGACAACTGACACCTTTGGGAGCAATGATGGCGGACTTTCCGCTCGACCCTCAGGTGCGTGCTGTGATTGTGCGTGCATCGACGACTAGCTGACATCCTGGCATAGATGGCGAAGATGCTGATCGTGAGCCCGGAGTTTAACTGCAGTAACGAGATCCTGACGATTGTCGCCATGCTTTCCGGTGAGTCCTGTGTACGATGCGCGATATAGCCATAGATATCTGACCAAAGACATATAGTGCCTAATGTGTGGCTGAGGCCACCGAATCAACGCAAGGAGGCTGATGCAGCCAAAGCACTGCTCACGGTGCCGGATGGCGATCATCTCACGTTGATGAACGTATATAACCACTATGTCAACAGTGCGTTTTCCGTCAACGGATAACGCTGCGCCTATCACTGACTATCTCTGCAGACAAGCACGACAGGAACTGGGCCTGGACAAACTACCTCTCCGCCCGCGCTCTCCAACAAGCCGAGAACGTCCGGACCCAGCTCCAACGCACGATGGAGAGGTATGAGATAGAGCTTGTGACGACACAGGACGAAGGGAAGCTGTGGACGAACATCCGGCGTGCGCTCGTGTGCGGTTTTTTCATGCAGGTGGCGCACAAGGAGGGAGAGAAGGGCGGATACCTGACGGTGAAAGACAACCAGGTGGTGTCGCTGCATCCGAGCTGTGGGCTGGAGACGAGTCCGGAGTGGGTGATGTTCAACGAGTTCGTGCTGACGACGAAGCCGTACATCCGAACGGTAACAGACGTGAGGCCGGAGTGGTGCGTCTTTGTCTCAGTATCACGAGTCGGGTGCTGACGTGCGGTGTGTGTAGGCTGCTGGAGTACGCGAGCAACTACTACGACCTGTCAGGTTTCCCAGATGGGGAGACGAAGCGGGCGCTGCAACGCGTGTACAAGAAGCGTACTCGCCAGGCATTCGGTGAGAACGACAGTGCGAAGTCAAGTCGTCCGAATAGCCCTTTGGTAGACGAACTCTCGGTGCGGCCGTCCAAAAAGAAGCAGAAGACGAAGGATGTGCTGTAGCATCGCAAAGTGTGGCGGGGAAGCGGTGTGCGCACGATCAGCGTCGTTCTTGTAGATATTGTATTTCGGCTGCTTAGCTTACGTGCATAATTTCGTGTTGGTGCTACACAGACAGTGTTGTGGTCTATCTGCAGTTGGGGAACATTCCATGGCATTTCAGGGTCATACGACGAAGATACAAAGAGGTAGCTTGACACAGTGGCATGTACAAATTGAGCGGATGGTATGTGATATGGATCGACGGCAACGTATGCAGGTTCACATGACAGCAGTGAACGACAGAGACGCAGGCAGAGCGTGTGCAATTCGAGAGAATCCTTCAAGGGGTTCAGTGATGTGCTTTAGCGATGTTGAGCTTTATGAATTCGATATGTAGTGTTGCTATCAACCTGCTGGGCCCCGTTGAACCGTTCGGATCAACCTTCAGATTGATGTATTAGAGAAGATGGAGGCCAAAAGCTCACCATGCGTTCGCTTCTTCGATTCCTTCTTTGACGGTCGCACTGAAATCTCATCTACCGAAAAACGTATTCAACTGATCCGGGCGGTTGCCGGTGAGTAGTAGGTCTGTGAAGCTTCCGTCACCAGGAAGCCTCACGGTGAACTCCTTTGTCGCAAGGTGGCTGGGGTAGAGTGAATAAGCAGGAGACATCGACAGCTCACCATCCATCTCGTCCGCTACGCACTTGGTATGTGGCGGGTCGGAGTAACATACGAACTGCGGTATTCTGCAAGCGGGGAAGCTATGTCATCAACGGATGCATGTGTGAGTTGTTTTACCGGAACTTGTTTCTCCGACTACGATGGAGATCTGGTTATCTCTGCAGTGGGCGTATATGCCATGTGAGCGCCCCGGCGTTTGGTCCCCAGGTCTCCCGAGCTGTGCAAACAGCATATAGCTTTACTGGTGACTTATCATGTCTAAAATCCCTCCCATGCAAGAAATTACAGGAAGCTGTCAACGGTCGCAAAGTTGTGCTGTGGAGAGTGAGGTATTTTGGAGAACGGATTGGTATCACTCTCCTGCAGCAGTAGGCGTAAGGGCAATGGACAAGAAGAAAAGAACGTGGGTGACGGCTTGCCATAGCCTTGGTGACCTTTTGGAAGATGGCGTTGTGGGGGATGAAGCCATAGAGAAGATCCTTGTGATCGAGAGAGGGTGCTGACGCGCTCGAGGAGACCGCCGGTCGGAGAGTGTGTGGATTGTATGGCATAGCGGGGAGGGGGGTCAGCCGCTCGCCGACGTCCGGGGTGGTATATAAGTGGAGGCATCCATGGGATGTATCGCGTGTTTGTTTTGCCTCCTCTGCGAATCTGCTGTACCAGGCAAAGTTGGAGAATGCGGTAGGTGGCGGTCATTGTGGGAGCGCTAAGTGGAACCCTGTGTGTTCACACGAAGGCGACAACTTGGGGCAATGTCGGCACTCCCGCCTACACCCTTGGCTGTCTTACGGCATCACTTGAACGTATGATTAGTGACTATCTCGGACGCAACGTTCAGAGAGAGAAGAGCGATCATTGAGTTGGCGACGACGTGTTTATGCAGCGACTGCAATGTGCTGCCTGCGCCCTATCGCTGTTCGGATTGACGATGCGGAGCCAGGAGCTTTTTGCGGCGCTGGAAGTTCTTTTTGTACTGGGGAGATTGACTGTGCTGTTCAAAGAATGAGGGTGATGCGGACGCGAGTATTTCTGAGATGAAACATGATTTCGGCGGCGCTCGCCATGGCACCTGTTCAGAGGTGACGTTGCGGGGAGGAAGCGATACAGAAAATCCTGGCCATTGAGAGGGCGGCAAGTGGGGAGGTTGTGTGCAGATTCAGATATTAGCGGAGACAACTCTGGCGGGTCCTATGACAGAGATGAAAGGTGGGTCAAGTATGTTGATGGCCGGCTGGCCTAATGGTTAAGGCGTCAGTTTCCGGTGCGCCGTGACCAGCTGAAGATTCCGAGTTCGACTCTCGGGTTGGTCGTTTTGGGCCACGAACTGTTTTGCAGCGCTCGGAAAACGAATTGATGTCACATTAAATATTCATTAACACTTGGCGCCCACCCGAATGCCATGACATGGACATTGGAATATTGACATTGCGAGGGACTGGGACGCTGTCTAGCCCCGAACCCGTACCGTACCGCACATAGCCAAATCTACTCACATCACCTAGACTGACGTGCTGCTAGCCATGAACCCGTACAATAGCGCACGTAGCCAAGACTCCAGGCGACATGCATTAGCAATGCTCAGAGTTTATCAGTATCTATGCGCCGGGTAACCATCATCCATCAGCAGCCAGCGAGCCCGCCTACCCTGCCGAAAGTAGCTAGAGCTATGTACAAGTGGCTGAATCTGCATCAACCTAGTTGAACACCGTCTGGACCCAGGGCGCACAGAGACCGCGAATGTACTCGTAGGAGCGGACGGGGAAGACTAAAGCGTAGGAAACCGTGACCGAGCTTTGAAGCTTACTCCGTGTTGCGAGGGAGCATACCTATTTGAGTGAGACAGAGGCGACCGGGAGTGGCCAATAATTCTCTATGCTACCAGCAACACCCGCAGCAGACAGGGTGCACGCAAGGCCCCCAGACAGAGCTGACCTGCTTGAACGTCCCCGTCCCTGTTTGTGTACCATGTCGCAAACCCCACAGCACAACAATCACCCCCTACCCAATATCTCGCCCTTGCCCAACTGAATTGGAGCTCCTACCATGAAGGATGTGCCGGTGTCGGAGTACTTGTCATTATTTTGTGCGACCCTCAATCGCAAATCGACCCCATCTCGATTTCGCCGTCGGCTTTCCACCTTGCGACGACGGTCTTGCTTACGGCTGCTCATAAGACCAATTAGATAATCAAGGCCCTCCAATAGTTTATCGGGCTTACCTAGCCAACTCGGATCCGAGGCTGTTCTTGGAGGTGTAGAGCTGAACGGCTGCTCAGAAGCATGGCCCTCGCGAGACTCGCAGTACCCAGGCACGGACAGATTCCGGCTTTATATGTCATCGATGGTACTTTCGCCTACTCCTGATAACTCGAGAGCTGTCCTAGGGGCGTACGGGAGACGTGTACGGTTATAGATTAGAGTAGAACTCGGGTTTGTCTAAAAAGCATAGACGCAATCCGACCATGTAGTCGAACAGCAAGTGGCAGCAGGTGCACTGAGATAACACTGGTAGTAGTACAATCATGTAAGATAGCCAGCCGCACCCTGCGCTGATGTGTGTCGAGCCGCGCTAGGATCACTGGCACTATTGGGCTCTGACATGCAGTGAATATTGACATTGCGAGGGACTGAGACTGGCTGAGACAGAGACTGAGACTCGGGACGCTCTCGTTCATGTGCGCTCGAGGATCATTTCATTCTCATTTCCATCGCCACCGTTGCTACCCTCCCTGCGCTCCAGGTCCGTGATCAGCATTCGATGTCCGACTCTCCCTCCGGTCCCTCCATCGCTCATCCCGACATCCCCTCCCGCCTTCTTTCATTCTATTCATTCTAGCCGCACCACACACTTTCCCAGCCCACGCTTTGCGGACGGAGTGCGGCGCGATCCCATCGTTCTGTTTCAGTACTTACGTCCCTCCGACCGTCCTCGAACAGCCACTGCTATCATGACGCCCTCCAATCGCCTCTCTCCGCCTCATCAGCCTTGTCCTCTAGCCGACCACCGCCAGCCGTCCTGTTCCTGACCCCTCGGCATCTCCCTCCCTGCGCTCTCCACTCCTTCTCCTCCTCATCCTCCTCCTCCTCCCCTTCGTTCTCGTCCTCCTCCATGTTCTGACGCTGGACGTTGTCTTTCCCTCTCCCTTTTCCCTTTTCTTCTCCGGACCGCGCTCTCTCACTCTGTCTTGCTCGGACTTGCGGATGCGACTTCAATGGATTCTCTAGGTCGAATACTGGCCGCCTTCCTCTTCCTCCTTCACCTCTTCCTCCTTCCCGCTCAGGCGCAAAGCGTACACGGCTTCAACTGGGGCTTTTCCGTAAGTCGACCCCATCCTCACAAATCCACCCTCCCCCGCACCCAGACTGAGAGACCACTTCCCACTTCACATCAGACGCAGTCCACCTCTTCCAACATCGTCGAATGCCAGACTTCTCCTGTCAGACTCATCCCACTCGACGGCACATCCTCCCTCGGCGTCCCCCCATATTACATGCTCGCCATCGAGGTCCAAGGCACCACCACCCTCACATCCATCGGCAACGACCCGACCCAGCTCCTATGGCAAAATACCCATCGCACAAGTACGTCTCCCCTTCCTTCTCTCTCAAATTCCGATCCGAACATGTCGGCCAGATGCTCAGCTTCTTCTCACCGTCATGGACTCCAACGGAAGCACTGCCGGTTTCCCCCCATCGTTCTTCAATGTCATCGGTATGTCTGCAGGCCTTCGTCAGGCGATGCAGAATTGACAGGGCGCCCGCTTTGACAGCCGCATCTGACGGAAAAGACACATCCTGCCTCATCCCAGACCCGACTCCCTCCACACCACGCATCACACCCAACGTCTCTACCGAGTTGCAAACCTGCCAACCGTGGGGGCTCACCATCACCGGTGGCACAAAGCCTTACAGCGTCACCCTCGGACAGCTCAACTCGGGCGTGATCACTAACGTCACCATGGGCCCCCTGGACGATGTGCTCACTTACATCAACCGCGCGGCACCGAACGAGCCGTTGATCGGTGAGTGAACGCGTCGAGGGCCGCTTTCCGGCTAAAAGTCACTCACAACAACGCCCCTCTCTAGCTGCCGTTGTGGACGCGTGAGTAACCATGTCCCCACCAATGATGAGCGTGTCCGCTCATTCTCACATTCACAGCACTGGTCAATGGGGCGTCTCCACCATCGCCGTCAACACCGCAGGGTCCACAGATGCCGACTGTCCGGGACTGAACACGAGCTCCAAGACGAAGGCTCAAATCCAGGCAGAACAGGTCGCCGCTGCCGCTGCCCAAGCATCGGCTGCCAAATCACACTCAACCACCATCGCCCTCGCGATCCTGTTTGGTGTGGTCGTCCCTGTACTGATCGTGGCTGGGGTCGGCTTCTGGTGGTGGCGTCGCCGCAGGAGACTTTTCCGGGAGAGCAGGCTAGTAACCCCCGTTACGAAGCCCACACCTTACGATCCTGAACAGCAAGGCGGCGCTGGCCGACCGAGCTTGAACCTCGACATGTCGCAGGTGTCGAATATGTTGCGGGTCAACAGCCAGAACCGTCGGTCCGCGACGTGGGCCGTGGACACGGAGGAACCCATCCGCCAGACGGACAGCCCGACCTCGATGGACATGTCCACGCAGGACGTTCGCCACACAATGCCGACCCCCTACCTCATTTCCGCGACGCTCCCGCGCCCCACCCCCACCATAAAGTCGCCGCGCTCGCCCGCGGACGGCCTCGCGCTCATGACCCCGAACTCGACATCCCCGGCCGCGACGCTGACAGCGGAGGCGCGCTACCGCAAGGCGCTGGAGGCACATGCAGGCGCGCAAGCGGTGCGCGCGCGGCTGCAAGCGCAAATGTCGGTGGTCTCGAGCCCCGGGCAGAGTCCCGTCGCGGGCCCGTCCTCGCGTCCGCTGTCGGGGCGGCCGCTGGTCCAGCGCTCGCACTCGGCAGCGGTGATGCGCACGTTCCCAGCGCAGACGCTGCCGCGGCGGGCGGGGGCATCGCTCCGCCTGCCGCCTGTGGCGGCGATCGCGGAGGACGGGGGCGAGGGACCAGATATTATCATACAGCATCGGGACGGGGGGATCGTGGAGGAGCTGCCGCCGCCGTACTTGGATAGCTACGCGCCGAGAGCGAGTGGGCTGTCTGGCAGGGGGCGGGCGGCGGGCCCGGGACTGGGACTGGGTTCACCACGGTCATGATAGCAGTTGTGCAGAGCGGAGGAGGAAGAGTTGGGTGCGGTTGGGAAAGCTGGGGGCTTTCGGATACCCAGTGTGTCTGCACTTCTGACCTGCCAGGCTCAGGTCCCTGCGGGGGTTTGCCTTGCACAGTGTTTTTGAAGCCGTCGGTCGAGGTCTCCCCAGTGCTTTCCGCTCCTTTGCGCCTGTTCGGATGTACATTAGTACTGCTGGTCTGGTAGAGTGTTGTATGAATATACCGGTCGCGCGGCGTCAATGCGTGATTGATCCGCGGTTGCTGTCCGTTCTGCAAGAGGCGGTGGGCGTGTATATTCTGGCCATGTCCAGCTCGGCGTAGACTGCTCTCGGCGTGTGTTTGGGCGGTGGGACGCGTTCCAAGACGAGAGAAGGCAGAGCCTGGAATGTCGAATTGCCATATACGGAGCATGACATAAGCAACTTTCGTCGGTGGGAGTGCAGATTCGCGCGCATTTCCCCGCCCGCTCCTCCTCGTCCCCGGCCTCATCCCCATCCACGACGACGACGACGGCGACGATCGCAGCACACTCTACCAACGCTAGTCGCGCCCTCGGTCTTGAACTTGCATTGCCTTTGGCCTCGTTAACATCACTTGGGCTCGTCGGTCTTGAGGCACCCATGTCGACCGCTAGCCACACTCCCGCCTTGACCCCCTCTCGCTCGCCTACCCCCGAGCTACCCCTCCAGCCAGACCACTTTTACGGAAATGAAGACATTCGGCTGCCCCCCTCGCCCAACTCGGATGGTAGGACGTGGCTCGATCCTGCAGACGACCCTCTCGCCCAGCGCGGCATCCCCGTCTTCAAGCCGACGATGGAGGAGTTCACGGACTTTGAGGGATACATGAACCGCGTCGAGCCGTGGGGCATGCGTAGCGGTATAGTGAAGATCATTCCGCCCCAGGAGTGGTCAGTGCTGCCTGTACTCTCTGCGTGATCGTCGTGGAACTAAAGAGTGCGGCCGGCCGTGCTGTTTTTATGTGTGTGTGTGCAGGACGGACGCGCTGCCCTCGGTGGTGCCGCAGCTCGACGGGGTGAAGCTGAAGAACCCGATCGAGCAGCACATGCTCGGCCAGGGCGGCCTGTTCCAGCA